GCGCCATGAATGATGTTGGGCTTCAGCTTCGCCTCCCGCATCTCGCTCAACAGCGCGAGCGCCCGCTGCCACTGCCCATCCGTCTCGCACGCGCTGATCCCAGCGCTGTAGCTGACTAAAGTTAGGTCGGGCATGTCCCCCTACAGACGATTCTGGACGAATCATTACATACAGCTACAAATATTCCACACATGCAAAAGTACACCAAAATAGTCGAAACATCGTTCCCGGACTATTTTTGTTCATGTTTGAATATTCCTCCTGTAGAGGGACAAGCCCGACATTAAGACTAAGGCTGGCCCGTAGCTTTACCGGCCACGAGACAAGTCCGAGGTGGCACGTTGGACCGGGCCAGAGATGCCGCCGAACGGCTTTCGTGATGGCGTTGGGCCCGAACTTCGCCTCTGCTGTTGCTGCCCGCAGCTGCAGGCTGCTGCTGCCTGCGGCATGTCGTTGCTGCTGCCAGCTTTTGCTGTGCCGCCGCTGCCTGCTTCAGACTGCTGCTGTTCGCTGTTGCTGCCCGAGGCCTTGCTGGGTGACGCAGCCTGCAGCTCGTGAGTCCAGCTAGGAGCGAGGAGCAAGGAGTCAGGGTCGAGGGGTGAGCGCGATCAGCGAGGACCACGGGGCGAGAAGGGAGGAGCGACGGCCGAGGAGACAGAGAGACGGGTAGAGTGAGAGAGAGGGAGAGCCTCCTCCTCCTCCTCCTCCTCCTCCTCCTCCTCCTCCTCCTCCTCCTCCTCCTCCTCCCTCCTCTCTCCTCTCTCCTTCCTCCTCCCTCCTCCCTCCTCCCTCTTCCCTCTGGCCTCGGCGCGCGTGTGGGCGAGCATCTGCTCTCCTTCGCTCATGGGGCTCTCTTGGGTGGACGGCGCGGTCACACAGCTCCCTGGGAATCTTCCCTCGGAAGCCTCTTCGCGGCGGTTTTTAGGGTGCCTTGGGGCGTCTCGGGGCCCTCTTGGGGCCTGGTTGGGGCGTCTTGGGGGCCTTCTGGGGCTTCTGGGGGGCCTCTCGGGGGCCTGCTGGTGGTCTCGGGGATCATCCTGGAGCGGAGGGCGCAAAATATTCGAGTTCCCCCTCTTGGGGGCCTCTTGGGCCGTCTCGGGCGCCTTGCGGACCGTCCTGGGGCCCTCTTGGGCCGTCTTGGGGCTCTCACGGGGGCCTCTGGGGCTGCCTTGGGGGAGTTCGGGGAGCCTCCAGGGTCTGATGGAACGCTGTGAAGACAACCACAAATAATAAGGAATAAACAATGAACATGCACGCTTCCCCAGGGAATTCAAGCGAGTTGGGCCTTTCGGGGCTCTCTGGGTGGCCCTTGTGGATCTCTCTCTCAGGGCGCAGTGGGGGCCTCTTGGGCCGTTGGGGCTGTCTGGGGCGCCCCGTCGGCCGTCTTTGGAGCCCACTGGGCAGTGTGGGGGGGCGTGGCCCGAGGCCCGCCGGGCCGACGGAGCTGCCACGGGGGCGCTCTTCGGCGCCCCGCGGCCCCTCGGAGGCAAGCAGAGGCACTCGATGCACATCACCTTCTGTCAGGCGCTGGCAGAACTGGGTTCAGTGGGGCCTGGTTTCGCGGTGTGTGCTGGAGGGCGCCCCCCCGCTCCGTTCCACTAACCGGAACTGCCGTCACCCGAAAAAACACGAGTTACGGCAGACCTGGTTTAGTGATTCTGGCCAATTCAAGGACTCTGGGGCCCTACCACTAATCGGGTCCCCTTCCCTGGGGTCCCGGCTATACCCGATTCTGAAAGCTTTAGATCAAACGGCGCTACAGGAAAACATCAAGACGTAGTATTTGATGGTCTGCCACGAATGCCACAATGTAATGCTATTCCAACAGAAAAATACAAATCATCGCAGCAATATCGGCGCTTGTCTAGCCAAGTCTGCCTGGTAAAGCCATACAGATGTTCCTGCACTGTAGAAAAGATGACACTGGGCTTCAGCTTCGCATCCCGCATCTCGCTCAACAGCGCGAGAGCTGGCTGCCACTGCCCGCCCTTCTCACACGCGCTGATCCCTGCATTGTAGCTGACTGGGGCTGACCTGTGGACTACGTCCACTCGCGGGGGGAGGGGGAGTGCCGCCAGGCGCATTCAATTACGTTATGGGCTGGTGGGAATGCGTGAAGCGTGAAGAATTGCAAGTGAGATGACGTTGGGCTCCAGCTTCGCCTCCCGCATTTCGCTCAACAGCGCGAGCGCCGGTTGCCACTGCTCACCCTTCTCGCACGCGCTGATTCCAGCGCTGTAGCTGATGACGTCGGTCTCTAGCTTCGCTTCCTGCATCTCGCTCAACAGCGTGAGCGCCCACTGCCACTGCTCACCCTTCTCGCACGCGCTGATCCCAGCATTGTAGCTGACGGTATTGCAGTAGAGACTGGGGCAAACCCGTGGGCCACGTCCACGAATGCTCGTCGGCGAGGTTTCCGGGATCTGGGTGGAGATGGTGCTGACAGGCTTTCGGGATGACGTTGGAGTCGCGGTCGCAGTCGCCACCGTTCCTGCAAAATCTGTGGAGGCGGGGTGTCCCGCGCTCGGGGCGACCTCCACGGCCCAAGAGGCGGGTGGCCCCAGCATCGAATCGGAAAGTCAAATCGGATCGACCTGAAGATCGAACCAGCAGAAGTCGGCAGCCGAATGGAAATCGACAGAAGTCGGCAGGCCCTCTCATGGGGCCTGACGATCGTCCAGGAGTCCTCCAAGACGGCCTCCAGACAGCTCAAGCTAGCCCCTGGATAGCCCACGGCGGAAACCAAGAGGGCCTCAAGCTGGCCCTCAAGAGCCTCTGGATAAACCCAAGACGGCCTAATGGGACCCTGGACACTCCGACACGGCCCTACGACAAGCCGACGAGACCGCCCAGACAGCCACGTGCCCTAAGAGAGCCCCAAGACCAAGACGGCCCAAGGGGGCTCCCATACATACCCATCGGTCGGAAGACGTAGGTAGAAACATGAAGTACCAAGGCGGTGAAAGAAGATTTGGTTCCGTCCGCCCCGGAAGGAGGACGGAAAAGGTAAAGCCACTCGATCATTGACGTAGGGAGGCGCTGAAAGTATATACGAATCTGGGAATCCAAAAATATCTACTTTGAACGACCGATGGGTATAATCCTATCAGTGCTCGATCAAGCTGTTCATAGAACCCTATGAAAGGGGTTCTAAATTTAACCGCCTTCTAATAGGGCTCGGTCCAACTCTACTATAATCCAATTATAGCTGGATCCAGCTCTGATTGCGTTCTGCTTCTGCTGGGCCCATCTTGAATTTCATCCCACGGTACCTTGGTCCAGCTCTACTGCCATCCTATTCGGACTCGGTATACCTGGGCCCACCCTTCATAGCACCCTACTAGGGCTTGGGCCATCTCACATAGAACGCTGGTATAGCTAGATCCAACCCTACTTGAATACTATAATGGTTCTATCCAGCCCTACTAGAATCTTACTAGGGCTCGGCCCACCCTTAATAGCAGACTACTAAGGCTAGATCGTCGTCGTCGTCGTCGTCGTTGTCGTTGCCCGACAGCGCCGGCGCCGGCACTGGCGCTCGCCGCCGTCGTCGGTTGCCACTGGGGAGGGAGGGCCCCCCGCCCCGTTTCGATCCAATTCGGGGGGTGGGGGGGGCGGGGGCGGTTCGACCCCCCCTCTCCCCTTGATTCGGGGGGGGGGGAAGCCCAGTTCGACCCCCCCCCCCCCGCCTTGCATGTCAGGGCCCCCCCCCAGTTCGACCCCCCCCTCCCCCTCCCGGCGTTCCCAGAGCGCGCTCTCTCCTTGCTGTGTGCAGCGGCCTGCGGCTCGTGAGTGGAGCGAGGGGTGGGGAGCAAGGAGCGAGGAGCCGGGGTCGGAGGGGAAGCTGGGGGGAAGCGAGGAACGATCAGCGAGGAGCATGGAGCGCCAACGGAGGAGCGACGGCCGCTGATAGAGAGAGAGAGAGAGAGCGAGCGAGAGAGAGAGAGAGAGAGGTGAACAAAAAGAAGGAAGAGAGAGCGAGAGAGCGAGAGAGAGAGAGAGGTGAGGAGGGACAAGGGAGAGCCGAAGAGGGGAGGGGAGGCAGGCGCCAGTAGTTAGGAGGGAGACGCGAGGGGCCAAGGAAGAGATGGAAGCAACGAGGAGGAGTGAAAAGAGAGGAACCAGAAGCGAAGAGAGGGAGGCGAGGGGCGAGGAGAGAGCGGGGAGGAGCGAGGAGCGTGGAGAAGGAAGCCAGAAGGGAGGCATAATAAACCAGCACACGCATGTCTTCATGGCCTCGGCGAGGCCGAACATGTGGTCTCATTCGCTCATGGGGTTCCCTTTGGCGCCTGGCGCGGTCACAAAGCTCTCTGGGGGTCTTCCCTCGGAAGCCTCCTCGAGGCAGTTTTTGGGGATGTCTTGGGGCCTCTCGGGGCCCTCTTGGGGCCTCTTGGGGCCTGATTTGGGGCCTGATTTGGGGCCTCCTGTGGCTTCTGGGTTCTGGGGGGCCCTTTGGGAGCCTGCTGGTGGTCTCGGGGGGCATCGCAGGGCGTGGGGCGCGAAACGTCAGTGCGAGTGCCCTCTCTTGGGGGCCTCTTGGGGGCCCTGTTAAGCCGTCTTGGGCGCCTCTCGGGCCGTCCTGGGGCCTAATGGGGGCCTCTGTGGCTGTCTCGTGGCAAGGGAGGGGCCTCTAGGGCCTGCTGGGACGCTGCTCAAAGCCAAACAGCAAAATTTGCAACAACATGCGTTGTCCTAAGGGAGTGGGGGGATTTGGACCTCTCGGGGCTGTCTAGGGCATCCTTGGGCACTTGAGGCGCGTCAAGCTACTAAGGCCGTCTTGGGGCCGTCTTGGGCGCCTCTTCGGCCGTCTTTGGGCTTCCTTGGGCCGAGTGGGGGGCGTGGCCCGAGGCCCGCAGGGCTGTCCAAGCTGCCCCGGGGGCGCTATTTGCCTTCACGAGGCTAAAACAAATCAGTTGATGCACATCACCTTCTCGCGCGCAGAGGTTCTGGCATTGTAGAAGAGAAGGTGTTGGGTTCCAGCTTCATCTCCCGCATCTCGCTCAACAGCGCGAGCGCCTGCTGCCACTGCTTGCCCTTCTCACACGCGCTGATCCCAGCGCTGTAGCTGACTAGGGCTGACCCGTGGACTCCGTCCACGATATCTTTCTGGAATGGTTCTCGGGGGAACGGCGGAGATTTTGCCGAAAACCTACAAGCACGGCGGCGGCCGGGGCGGCGGCAGCGAGACCGCGCCTTCGTGCCCGAGCTCCTGCAGCGCCCCAGCAGCTTGGCCCCGGTGCACGGTTCGTTCGCCCCCCTCCAATCGGGTGCAGTTTTGAAGTCTATTGGGGATGTGCGTCAAAGTCGAAGCCTTTCTGGGGCGTAGCGACCGGGGAATGCTCGGGAGGTAATCGGGAAAGCAACCGAGAGCGCTGGGGAGGCTCGCAAGGATCTCTGGGGAGGGCCCATGAAAGCTCCAAGACGGCTTGAAACCTAACAAATCCGCCGACCCCTTGTGGGTCTCTAGGCGTGTGAGATAGTTCCCCCCCCTCTAGTCCCCCCCTGGGACCCCCAAACCGGCGATTTGACCCCCCCCTGATGGCCCCCCCCCCCGGCCCGGCACGAGCGACTCACGGAGCTTCTCGGGCCCAAGAGGGCCCCAAGACGGGCCCAGAAGGGCCCCAAGTGGCCTCCAAGACGGGCCACGAGGTCCCCGAGACGCCAATTGGGCGCTCGAAAACGCCCAAGATGGCCTCAAGTCGGGCCCCGAGGCCTCCAAGACGGCCCCGGAGGTCCCACATAAGCCTCCCAAGAGGGCCCCGAGATGCTAAAACTGGTGATTGTCCATTATGTTTTACGGTGTTGTTTGCCTTTTCGCCTTTTCGGCTTCCCGACGCTCCAACACGGCCCCCGAGGCCCTGAATACCCGCCCCGAAACGGTTCAGGAGGCCCCCAAGATGGCCCCAAGACGGCCCAAGATGGGCCCAAGACGGCCCTAGAGGCGCCGAAGACGCCCCAAGAGGGCCCCAAGACGGGCCCAAGAGGGGGCCAAGAGGGGGGGAAAAAATATCATTTCGAGGTTTCGGCCCCCAGGCGCCCCCAGGAAGCCCCAAGAGGTCCCCCAAGAGGCCCCCAAGAAGCCCCCAAGAGGCCCCAAGCAGGCCCCAAGAGGCCCAAAAGAGGCACCCAATAGGCCCAAAATAGCTCCCAAAGGGCCTCCAAAGTATGGGCGGTACCATGTGAGGCACACGGACGACGTACCTCGCGTGGTACTTGGTCGGTACCACTTGAAGTATCCGAGAGGCCGACCACGAGATCCCAAATAATATTCCACTGGCCTCAGATTCACAACCCCGGCACGGCAGCGGGATTCGCGGGACGCGCCTCGGGCCATTCGAGAAATATCCCTCTCAGAATCCACGACAAGATCCTCACTTGTCCTCGTCCTCCTCTTCCTCCTACCCCTTCTTTTCCTCCTCTTCCTCCTCCTCCTCCTCCTCCTTCTCCTCCCCCGTCGTCTCCGTTTCCTGCTTTGTTCCTCCCCACTGTCCACAGCATTCGCGCGCTGCCCGACGCGCTGCAGCGCCTTCGTGGACGTCCCCCAGAGGCCCCGAAACGGCCCCCCAGTGGCTTCAAAACTGCACTCGAGCCCCCGAGAGGCGTGCCGCGAGATCCCTATACACATACTTGAAGCCTCTAACTCATAACCCATGGCCCAGCACCTTGTCTCCGTGTCCCCCCCCTCCTCCTCCCTTGCCTCCTCCTTCCCCATACACATACCACAAGCCTCTACCCCACATCCCATAACCCAGAGCCTGATCTCAGCGCCCCCCCCCTCCTCTTCCTCCTCCGCCACCTCCTCGTCGTCCCCCTCCTCCTCTTCCTGCCCCGGTTCACCTCATCCTCTTCGATGCTTCCCCCCCCCCATTCTCCGCCTCACCCCCCATCCTTCTCTCCCCGTCCTCCTTTCTCTCCCCAGCACGCGCGCCCGATTGGGCACCATGTGCATGTCTTGCACTTCAGAGTGCCCTTCTTTGCGTCGCGCGGGACATTGTGCGGGTCGGGGAACGCCGACTTCGATAGTCTCCTCTTGCATGCGCCGGTGCACTGATACCCTTGGTAACTGCGCGCGTTGAACCCGAGTTCCTCGCAGCCTCTGCACACCACTTTGGTTCCTTTCGCCTCTCCATGATGTTCCACTTGCGTCGGCTTCAAGCGTCTCGTGTCTGAGAACGCTCCTCCGCACGCCGCGCGCGTCAGTGCCTTCGCGTCCGCCTCGGCTTTCCGTTTGCGATTCGCTGCCTCCGCATTCCCCCGTCGTACCTCTTTCTCTCGTTATTCCGCGCATTTCCGACAGAGTCTTCCGCCCGCAGCATTGTGCTTCTTCTCAGCTTCGGACATCCCCGCCCCCTCTTGGAACTCCGACGGGCAGTCGCCGTTGGAACACCGCAATGCGACCACGCGTTTTGCACTATTCGACGCAAGCGTCGCCCTCTGACGTTCTCCCGCACATTTCCGACACAACCTCTGGCCCGCTGCGTTCTTCTTCTGAGATTCCGACATCTCCGCCTTGTCGTCATACAGCGACAGGCACTTATCGTTCGAACACCGCACTGTTCCAACACTCTCGTTCCACTTCGCGCTGCCAGTGCGCGAGTTCTGTTTCGCCTTGACATCCCTGCACTTTGCGCGGCACATTGTCCTAATCCTTTTTCGTCTCCCCGTTTTCGAGCGCCGCGTCCGCGTTCCGACCGCTACCTTGCCGCGCCGCGTCGTCACCCTCTGCTCTCATTGCCCACCCTCTGCACGTTATGCACCAATTTGCACCTGCGTTTTTCATCTCCTCCGTGCATTCTTTGCAGAAAGCCGGTCTGTCCTCCCTCTGGAACTCGTACTTCGTGAACGCCTCTACCAACAACCTCCGCCGGCAGCGCTCGCACTGGTCTCGTGGCATTAGTTCCGCCTCCCATTCATCCCAATCGAAGCTCTCCCCTCGTAGCACCTGCAGCAGTTTTTTCGCGCCCTCCATCTCACCTGCGCTGCACGATCCCCTGTCAAAAGGCCGGAAAATCAGAAGGTCCTGTCGCCTGCGCACGCGCGCGATGGCAACGTAACTGGACATCCAATTCACGCCGCGCCCTCTTTCAAGGTCAGCTATCACTGCGGCCATGGTCCGGCCCTGCGCAGAGTGCGCCGTCACTGCCAAAGACGGGGTTATCATATACTGCGTGCGCTTCACACTCAACACTGGATGTTTCCGATACCCGTCCAAGAACCATTGCCGCCCTTTCGATGGGAAGATCGGATACAGCCCTGGCTCCCACCCTGGCAGGTGCCACTCCTTCGTATGGAAGTTCAACACTATCACTCTCGGTAGATGCAACAACACTTCCTCGTCTTCATCCCCAGTGACCTCGTCCTCGTGCAACACACATCCATGGATCGTCGCTGCACGCCCCCCCAAGAGCTTCTTCTTTGATCGATCCAAGTGATCCCCCAAAGCCACGGGCATCCCCTTGGCCAGTGGCAGCCACCCGGGCAGGCTTGCACACTCCTTCTCGTGGTACCCCAACCAACGTACCTTATCCTCCACCGTGTACGGCCGCCTCTGTCCCCCCCCATGGCAAGGGCGGCCCCTGGCTGCGACCCAGAGCAACTGTTCTCCTCGCTCTTTGGCCCACTGCACAGCTCTCTGCTTCCCGACGTGGCAGCGAATGTCCTGGTTCGCATAAATGGCGACAGCGTCTACAAATTTCTCCTCCCGAAACCGCGCGTCTTCTGCCGACGTCGCGACGAGCTTCCTCTTGCCCCGCTCACTTTTGCAAGCCTCGCACTCTAACTCGTTGCGCATCGCAATTGCATCTCTGTCTTCGAAACAACGCGCTTTCCCGCACGCCGGTGCCCCGTTCACCCACGACACCGGAACATCCGTCGGTCTGCCATGCCAAAAATTGCGCGTGCGTTCAGACAACTTTCCTCGGCGAAACTCGCCCTGCACTCCAAGAAACCAGTCGCCCTGGTCTCCCACGCGCTTGCACTCCGTCAACTCCGTCATTCCCTGCACTGCACCATCGCCACCCGCTCCCCAAAAGATATGCTGCCCGTGGTCCTCTGTGGCACCCGGCGCGTATTTCCTCGCTTTTTTCAAATACGACGTGGGAAGCGCATTAACGGCTGTCCCAGATGGCGGCTCCAATTGATAGAAATCCCCGCAGAACAGCACATTCACGCCCCCGAAGGGCCTGGTGACGCCGTCTTCACCTACCTTCGCGTCGCTTGCAGCTGACATGCACGACCGCAAGTGCGAGTCTAGCTCTGCAATGAAGTTCGCGCTGACCATGCTCACCTCGTCCACAATCAGCCACTTCCACTGTGACATGCGCTGCGCTGCTTGCTCTTTCTTCGTTTTCTTCTTTGTCTCTGCGTTGGCATCGCCCGCCGCGTCCTTCTCTTTAGCACTGTTCACACCGAGCCCAAATTCACTGTGGATCGTATTCCCGTCGAGAGCTGACGCGTTTGTAGCCTGCAACGCTGCCGCCTGGAAATCTATGCCGCGCGCCCACCCCAGCTCTTTTTCGAACAGCTCCTTCCGGATCTTGCCCATGACGAAACTCCCCCCAGTCCCCGGGCCACCATGCAACATCCACACGAAGGGCTGCATATCAGAACCGCTCTGGCCTGTTTTCTTGCCGCTCGCGGACCCCCCGAATTCTTGCGCCAACGCGCGATCTGCCACCTTCTCAACGACGCTACGCTGTCCCGCGTTCAACCCGTTCTCCGCAAGCCCTTCCCTCCATCTCCGCACACTTGACGCCGTTGCTTTCTTGGCCGCCACCACCCCTGGGGCACCTTCCCCCCCGCCCGCGCCGCTGCCTTCTGCGGCCCTCGACGCCGCGGCCACCGCTTGCGCTTTCTGCACCTCCGCGTCATCCCACCTGAACACACCGCCCCCTCCGCGTTTCTTGCGCTTTCCGTTCATCCGACCAGTGCTCACGCCCCACACGGCGTCGCCCCTGGCCATGGCCCCCCGGCTCCTCTCCTTTTCGCACTCCGCATCTACATTTGCCCGCCTGTCCTCTTTCCCCATGGACGCACCTCCCGCATGCGTCTTCCGCCTTGTCGCCGCGTC